ACACACACACACACACACACACACACACACACACACACACACACACACACACACACACACACACACACACACACACACACACACACACACACACACACACACCTCCTCCCTGGCTGCAGGCTGATAACAGACAGTTGGGATCGCGGTGAAATTCTCTCTGCAGATCCATTGTCACAGCGTTTATCAACCTTTTTCTTACTCAGTATCAAGCCACACTTATTGTTTTTACTTCGGCTGTGAGTTTGGCTGTGTTTCGCTGTGTATCGCTAAACAAGGAAACCACACCTCCACGGAGCTCAGCGCGATTCACAACGTCCCGACCAATCAGAGCACACTGTGCTCACAGGGAGGGTGGGGGCTGGAGCTACTGGAGCTACAACGAGCCGTTAAAGGCAGAGAGTGAACTTCAGTGAATACACATAGTTTACAGAGATGCTGTATGAGAAACCAATGTGAGTTTGGAAAATTGCACAATATAAATATATTCTAGGAGACCTAAACAATGAAATGATGATCAGTGGAAATGGCCATGACATGTCTCCTTTAAACATTTTTCAGCCAAACTGTCAACATCCTCTCCAAAGCAAATAGCCGAGTGATTAAAACCAGGAAAAACACTGAATAAAGTTCACAATTTAAAATCTGTGTTTGTCAGGGGCAGTTCAGGGTACAATAGCATACGAAAGAGCTTTGAGTTGAATTACCAATTATGTTTGCTCATCTTGTTCCTCTGATAACTTTAAGTGTTCCAATGACTTATTGTTGATATGCAATTAAAGAGTTTAGAACATGCAAGTGTATTGTAAAAACATGGCTTGAAACTGGATAAAAAGTTAATTTATGAGAACTTCTGGCAGATAACCACAATGGTGAGGCATGTTAAATACCAGATTTTTCTAGCTTTGACATTTTTGGAACGTTTGGGACAACACCACATTGGATATTTTACCTGACGTTTTTCAAAATCTGCAGGGATAGATTTCACTGCAATCAGCATGTAGAGAGCAGCAGACGACCCTTCACTTCCTTCTTCTTCTTCCTCTGCTCCCCCAACGTGACATTTATCAGGCTGGTCTATGAGCAGTTTAAAGTTTCTGTTGTCCTTTTTTCTCAGATAGCCCTCAAAGTCAAATGGAGGCATCGTGGGCAGGGGCTTGGCAGCTGTCTTAGTCGGCACAGCATTTTTCCGTCGTGCCTTGGATTTCCCCTTAGATTTGACCTGGGGTTTTTGCTTGAGCTGCAGAAGTTTGGATTTGGACTGGGGTTTGCAGGGAGGCAGCTGTGTCTGTGAAGGGTTGGAGGGGATCTGCTAATATTAGCATTATGACTTCTGTTTGTACAGCTTTATCTTTGTGTCCTTCATTATAAAAATGTGTTAGAGCTTTTGCAAGTCAGTCAGATGGACATAAAGGCAAACGTTAATACAAATATACTGTACACACACACATTGAAGCACTCAACATAAGCTATACTAGTATTTACACAGCACATACTGGTGCTTCAACAGACCAACAAATGTCACTCTGTGAGCACAAAGACAATGACGCTGGAAACACTAAACCAAAACAGAAACAATGAGCTAAATATAAAAAAAAGGGTAACCAAACAAGCACATACATTCATCACTTGAATTAAATACGGTCATACCCCTTGAGACTCCTGGCCGACTTTGGCCCCACTGGCGCCCAGCAAGGTCCTGCTGGGACTGGTAGATCCGTGGATTTCCAGCTTCAGCAAAGGCCTGTCCCACTCAGAGGAGAGCACGGCCTGGAGACATGGGGGGGATTTGATTAGACATTCAAATAAATCAAAAATATGAAGGAGAATTATGTAGCGGTAGTCCAGTCAAAGAGATAGTTCATATTGTTTGAAGTGGTGTTGTATGACATTAAATAAAATATAAATAGTAGCTTGAGTGTATGCTACGTTTAAAAGATGTTCACAGCCGTTATCCTTGCTTGCATGAAAGCAACCACACTCCATTGAAATAAACTTTAATTTGACCTTGCAAACTTCTCCACTGCTGCCTCAATCTGTTAGCTTGTTTGTTTGATTATGTAACTTCTGTTTTAATGGAGAGTTCGGATCCACCAAGGTCACCCAACAACACAAACTAACTAACCGAACAGGGCAGTGGTAGATCAACAACTCCCCTGTTCTACTAGGTTTATTAATGAATGCTTTTGTCAACAGAGTCTGGGGGCGACTGTTCCCTGCTGGATACTTAGAATGACACCAATTATTCACTGAGCCTTCTCAAGGAGGCTAAAATATGTTCTGCTGCTGCAGTAGTTTAGTAACTGGACAGGTACTCCTGAATCTGAACTATCCCTTTAAGAATTTGACCAAATCTCCCTTTTCCTATGCTGTGATTGGCTGCTTCCTCACCTGCCGGGCATAGAGCAGCACACAGAACAGCACCAGCAGCAGCATTGTGCACATCACATCTGCCTTCACATGGAGGATCCTCCTCATGGTCACCATCTTCCTCAGCATCTTCTTCATTAACCTGACTTCAGTTAAGTGTTGGACAGGATTCAAGGCATTCAGGCAGTGTGAAGGAGCCGCTGCAGTTCATACTGCTTTGCAGACCGCAGAGCACGCTGAACCGGAGTCAGACTAGATTCTGGTTTGCAGGCTGTTTTCATATCACTCGATGTACGTCCAAACTGTCCAACTCCATCCTCCTCTTCTTAGGTACCAATGGGCAGAGGCATCCTGGACAATAACAACAACAGATTTCCATCATCTTTGATACTCCCTGTTTATAAAGAGGAAATTGTTACCGTCCCATTTGTTTGTTGCCAGGAGGATTATTCAGAAAACCATCTTGTGAAAATGCAATACAAAAATGTGGTTTTCTGGAATATATATTGATTAAGCAGTAAAGGATATAATCTCACAATAATTCAATCGTGGTGAACATAATTGTGAAAAAACTTCACACAAGTGACTTTAATAATTTGTCTAGCTCACAAGGTAGGGATGTGAAAATAGATACCTTTTTTCTAAATGCGGAAATTGTCATGTACGAAAAATCGCACACTTTATTTCTACAAATGAATACATTAGAAATCTGCATTAATCAAACAAAAACCTTTATTAAAAAAGGGGACTGTATCATCTTTAATAACTCGGTTAAGATGGTTGGTTTTTACTGAAAAGGAGTGTCCTACATATTGTGAAATAAAATTGCTTATTTCTGTACAAAATGTTAGACAATTTCAGTACATTCAAGTGATGATTATACGGATGAATCGTCATTCATTATTTTTGGGCCGGGATAATTGTTATATGAAATCTGTATCAAATATATAGCATATTATTTCTGTAAAAACAATAGACACAACCAATCAGGCTCTTTTTCTCAATTTGTTTTGAAAGTGCTTACTTCAGGGTTTTGGTCATTTGGAGGTCATAAGATATCCTGGCATCTTTGTTAAATGAGCTTTTCAACAAGTAACGACATGCTTCCCCCTCACCTCGAATAAGCTACTATTCAGTATTATTTATTTAAAAGGATCCAACATGTCATTGCTTGTTGGTAAATTAATCCCTTTTCTTGTTTCCCATCGATTGATAAACTTTGTTCTGAAGGGGGAGTGTCTCTTATGTAAGTGAGCATGAGGGTACCAACTCTTTCAAAGAACACTGTGTCCCAACAATAACATCCACATCATTTGCAAACATGCCCAAATAACGCCCTGTTATTGATGTGACACAGTATGTATATGTCTGAGGGCAGCAATGTCACAAAAGCGTGACCAACAATAAGCAAAAGTGTAGCAAACTTCTTGCGCAATTTACACAGAAAGTATAATTTCTCGCCAAATACAATGGGCATGTTTTAAAGTATCAACAACTAGCTGGTTTGATTAAAACGCTTTAGTTATTCAATGTTCGCTGACTGATGCAAGTCATTCAAACTTACCAGACGAGACGGAGGAGGTTAAAGTGGTAACATCTGGGCAACACAAATCCACTCTGCGCAGCGACACAAAGAAGATGATGTAAAAAGTCCCGAAGAGAGAAGAGGAGGGAGCTGTTCACATGCTGTCTTCAGGTGTGTGTGTGTGTGTGTGTGTGTGTGTGTGAGGAGGGTAAGAACAGCTACCTGGCGCTGAGCCTGTCTTCTTCAAGAGCTGCTGACTGCTTATGGTTGCCTTCACGTGCTGTTAGACATTGTGACAAACAAGTACTTTGTATTGTTGAGCGGGTATTCTAAGGTAAAAATAAGCTTTTGTCGTATTGGCAATTCACATACAAGGAACTTGGTCTGGTGTAAATGCGCACTGAAAAAATATAAATAATATACTTTTTTTTAATACAATAAAACAAGAACAATCTTTTTTTAAATAGGCTACCTTTTAAAAATATGTAGGCAACAATGCAAGTGTTTAAAATGAAAGAGTTAGGCAGGAAATGCGTAAAGAGTATATACTAGTTTAGATGTATTTGAATTTATGAGTGAGTAGTCAGACGACGGAGCTAACAAGGAGCACCTGAATGCAGCATCTTCATCCTTTTTTTCCTTATCACGTGACTTAAACCAAAGCGAAGCTTCTTCAAGCCAGATGCCAGCACAGCAACTGAGGAGGATTGTGCAGGGGGAAAAAAGCAAGAGGAATAAATAAAAGTGCAGAGTGTGAGTTCATGTTCTGATGAGTCATGTTTTTTTATTCTCCCAGTAGGTCACTAAGACATATATCAAAGCCAGATCCAGAATAATTAATCCGGGAAGTAGTATTGGAGATCATATCATTAAAACTGAGCGTCACTAATTATGTTCAATATTAAACCTCACACAAATGAGTTCCTATATATTTAAATATTTCTACCACCCTAAGCAACATGCAGGAAAGCACACGCGGCAGCAGTAATGGTGATTCATGACTATGTACTGGGTCTTGACTGAACCATCTGTGGCGCCTATAGAAAACAGCTTGTGCGTGAACATGTGTGCATACAATTAGACCTATAGAGAGAAGATACGTTTGGAAAAGTGCATGGCAATAAGTGAACACGCCTGCAGAGTTGTGGCCCTTAGAACCTGCTGGATGTAGGGTGTATACAGCTAAACTGTAAAAAAGAGAATAATAAAAGATATGTAGCATAGCCTACATGGCAGATATATGTCCCACAATTGGAAGTAATCTTTTCCCAATTATATCGTTTTTGCTGATTAACTGTCTAGCACAAATTCTAATAGAGATCACAACGTTTCCAAGAATACAAAAAACATGCAATCTTTTAAAACATAATTAATTTAATAACAATTTCTGCCACAAAAACACACTTACAATCTCTCTCTCTCTCTACAAAAGGTAAACACACAGCATTGGTCCTCTTTGTCAACTATTATTTTAAAATGGGTTTCTTTGGCTACAAACACTCAACAGCTTGGAGCAGAGAGCCTGAGCGTTCGGGGCTCTGTCTGAGAGGAAGCTGCTCTCCAGCTGTGCTCTCTCTAAACATCACTGTGTCAGCTCGCGGCTGATCCAGCATATTTCTACAAACCGTCATGGAAAAACATTTATTTTACAAAAGTGCAGGGTCACCTGGAACTTCTCGAGAACATTCAATGGACATTAGCTAAACTGCTGCCAGGTTGTTGCTTATTCCTAAATCACGGTTAAAGATAGATTAAGGCTACAACAGCGTTCCTTTACATGTGTAGTTCTCATCCCACTAATCTCAGTCCAACCTTGGAATTGATAAAGGTTAACATAATAGCTCTCATCCGTTGTTCTTGTCCTTTCAATCTATTGTCCTTTTCTGCATTCCACTTCCCTTTGCCCTCAGGAGGATGCAGTGCCAGCTCTCATAATCCTAAACAGTGCGTTGACGTTGTTGCTCTTGATGGCGTCTCGACAGGCAGAGATCACTTGGTTCTTGGGCTTACCCACTGGAGAGAAGTAGGAACAGCAGGAAAGATGGATTAATATGAGGAGAACATATATATATATGTGCAAGAAACAACTACTCATATAGAATGCCACACATGATTTTAAGTTTCAAAGCACTGTTAATTATAGAGAGGACACTATTTAGAGGCCTCAATTTGCGGCAGACCCAAATACATAAGAATACACAGTGCCTTACCTCTGAGTCTACCAGCTCGCTGTATGGCCTGGTTGACAGACTTCAGGCAGGCCAACAGTGCATTGTGGTTGTTTGAGCGGATTTTATACTCGTTGATCAGATCTCTGTTTAGATCGTACAGCTCCCTGTAACGCTTCTTCATTGTAATCCTTCAGAGGGCAAAAGTATTTGGAAAAAGAGGGAGAGAAACAATTGCTTGTTAAAAAAAGATTTGATATCAGTATTAACAGTGTATGGTGAAATGCAAATTGTTGATAATAATGCACAATACTCACATCTCACCCATCAGGCGGGCATCCTCTGCCTGCACCAGCATGTTCCTGATGTAGTTAGAATGGTCGGCCATGGTTGCAGTCAATTTCTGGTGGACAGAGTGGAACTCATCCACCTATCAGACAGATATTCAAGCTTCAATAAACAAAAGACCATTTCTCATATGCTCTCTGACTTCTCTTGGCCTTGAGCAGCCTTTTCAACAGGTGTTGTTTAAGTGTGACGATGGATCCTTGGGGTAAAAGTGGAAAGTTCAACATGTTCCCCTCTCTGGTACAGAATAAAGGAATTCTGATTCTGATTCTAAATAAAAGCATTAAAATATTTGAATCTGTTGAAAGTCTGACCTCAGTGAGTGTAGTGCGTAGCTCCTCAAAGTATACAGGGAAGTCTGCTTCTGCCGACAAATCCTCTTTAGCGAGGAAGGAGGCCAGTGACTGGACCAGATCTCCTGCCAGGTCGATGTCATCAGTTCTCAGAGTGATCTGATTGGGCAGTTTGAGATGGATTAATGTCAAATTGTAGCTGATGTTCAATAAGTAATCACATTTTGCTCATGATGTTTCTTCATTTTTGTTTGTTCGGAAATACATTCTAGTACCATTGATTTCATTGGTAATCTTAAAAGGATCAAATCAAACAAGCTCAAATCTGAATGAAGCTAACAGCTAAAGACGTTATTGTGCTTTTGTACCTGTCCATTGCTGGCCATACTGACGGACAACAGTCCCCCTCCTCTTAGAGAACTAAACGTGATGTCAGGACTGTCTACTCCCTCAGGAAGCAAGAAGTTCTGATTCAGCCACATCACCACCTACACACCATACAAGTACACGATGCATATCAACAATAACATAGAATTTAATAGCAAAGGCATATCAGCATGTCATTGCCTTAAACATGCTGTGGGACTGTTCAAAATCATGTTTCTGCTGCATTCCCACCAAAGCAGTTGTTGCTGTGATAATCTTTAGAAGTCACTTTAAGCTCCCAATATAGTACATGTAGATTTTATATTTATATATTTTTTGTCATAGCCTTCTTTTAAATATTTAGCCCTATTCAAAGGCAGCTGAAATCCACTAAATAAAAACAAAGGGACAACTCTGTGCTGAAGCTTGTTGCAGGAAACCGTCAGCTGTTACACAAACTCCTCGATGGTTAGGGGATAACTGGTTTTGTTTCGTTTCTTACCCTCATTCATTGGCCAAACGTTGCCAGCCTTATTCTATTTTGTCAACCTAAAACTGAATGAAAAATTCTGATCGCTGGCTAAAATGATTGGTCACTGCAGAGTGAGGTCTGGCTACGTTTCTCCAAAAGTTTACTATGTTATGTTTTGCTCCAGGCTCATGCGTTTTTTACCCTAACGCTGTAGCTCAAACCTACATTCAAATGAAAGTGAGGATTGGCTGTTGCAATTCCTGGTTTGGTGTGCTGCAGCCTTTTTATTGTCCTCCGTGTTCCTAAAAGACGCTCTGACAGCCTACCCGTTGTGGTCGATCGTTGATGCTGAAGGTGACCCTTCCGCTGGGCTCTGCAGCCGAGGAGTCGACCGTGATGTCATACATGGAGAAACGGGGCAGCTGACGGGTGATTTCAAACACGTGGAATTGAGTACTGGAGAGAGAAAAAAGGCTGTTCTATTTCGTATATGGCTTCGCCCTCTAAGGCTATCGCTATTGGGTAATCCCCCTGCGCCCCCGCGCAGCACTGAAACACTTGTAGTCCACGCCCACCCGCAAGGTGGGCCCCACCCTCGGGCCTCCTTCCGGTATAAATAGGAAGGAGGCCCGGCAATCTGCTCCCTCTTTTTTTCAGCAAACCAGCACAGTTACTGAAGCACAGCAATTGAGAATCATCATGAGCAACAACTGCGTCCGTGATTGTCCCTCATGTGGCTCTGGGTTCATAATGAGTTATTACCTGCAGAGATAAAAGCAGTCTGCGAATCCTGCCGGGGGTCAGAGCACGCGTACGCGGCTCTAAACCAGCAGGTAGCATGCACTCTCCCCTCGGGCGACAGGAAGCGGAGAGCGGACACTCTTGCTGCTGTGGCCGAGGAGGACGATTGGCCCGTCCAGGCTTACGAGCCCGCGGACGGGGCCTCGTGTCCCTGGGGCAGAGTGCCGGGCAGGAAGCCTGGACGGGCCAATCGTCCTCCTCGGCCACAGCAGCAAGAGTGTCCNGGGCGTGAGGCAACCCCAGGTGGGCTTGGACCGAACGGGCTATGCAGGGGCCTCCACACGCTGCGTCTCACTCCGACTCTCATCATGAGGCGTGTACACGCTCAGGGGATGAATGGAGGTGTGTGCAGTGCTGTCCACATGAGGCGTTATAACGGCGCTCATGGGTTTATTATGACCGTGTGTAGGAGGCGTATCTCGGAAAGAGGAATGCCGCGAGCTCTGCAGTTAATTAACCGATAGGTTAAAACCAGCAGGCTTCTGCAGCAAGCCCTGGCGCCGTGGCGCTGTGGGCGCTTCCGCTGGGGGCACTCAGCCTGGAATACTGCTCATTCCCCCGTTCTGGCTTCTCTGTGATGTGCTGTAATGGTCGTCATGGTGACGAGCAACGCCATTGCCCTCGCCGCCGCTGCCCGTGAGGCGAAAGGGCTGCGAGGAAATCTCCACACGCTGCGTTTCACTCCGGCTGTCATCATGAGGCGTGTACACGCTCAGGGGATGAGTGGAGGTGTGTGCAGTGCTGTCCACATGAGGCGTTATACCGGCGCTCATGGGTTATTATGACTGTGTGTACCTCGGACAGGGGAATGCCGCGAGCTCTGCAGGTTTATTAACCGATAGGTTAAAACCAGCAGGCTTCTGCAGGGAGCCCTGCTGTCTACTTAATCAACAGATTAGTGGCAGCCGGCTTAATTACAGGCTCCGCTTCCTCGGACGCTCTCGCGGAGCAGACCAGGAGCGGGGGAGCCTCACTCCCCTTTGACTCGCCGCCGGGAGACCCTGTCTCTGGGGGAGCGGAGACGTGGGACGGAGCCCCTGCAGCCGCCGGGGCGGTTGCTGTGGGCGTCTCCCCGCTTGCGGCCTCCTGTGGCCGGCGTTGACGCCGCGGCTGCTGCGGGCGTTGGTGCCGCTGTGGCAGCTCAGCCGACTGGAGCCAGCTGTACATGCTGGCGAATGCCGTCCACCTGTTCCGCGGCCGTCTTCGTGGAACTGGGGTCCGAACAGCCCGTCCGGGCTGATTGGAGCGTCCAGTAGCACTTTTCTGGCCGTCTCCGTAACAGACGCCGCCGCGCTGTGGTGACGGAGAGGGGGAAAGCATGTTCGGCCGCCAAGCTGGCACCCTGCTCCGACTCTGCTCAATCGTCCTCCTCGGCCACAGCAGCAAGAGTGTCCGCTCTCCGCTTCCTGTCGCCCGAGGGGAGACGAGCGCAGTGCATGCTACCTGCTGGTTTAGAGCCGCGTACGCGTGCTCTGACCCCAGGCA